ACACGCCACCAGGGCGTGGTGTTCTAATGATTTAAGAGAAGATGGCTAAGCTAAACTAAGCCATACAATCTTGAACCCTCATCCCAAGCGACCGAAATCGAATACCGGGGTTAAGCGTTTACCTATAGTCTCCCTTGTAGCTCCTTCTGGGGTTACCTCGTAGGATCCTAAACAAAAACTTATTCATTAAACCAAAAAAAGAACTACAATGGAGACGCTAGGTAGGGACCAGGGCCCTAAAATCTGAAAGCTCTGAACCCTAAAATCTCAAAACCCAGAAGCCTAAGCTCCCGAAAACTCCAGAGCCAACGGGGGCCTCTAGGGATGTAGGGCTTCCAGGGTTCAGTAGGGTCAGGGTTTCAGGATTTCAGCTGTAACCGTAGGGCCTAGGGTTTAGTGCAGAGGGTCCTAAACCCTAAACCCTCATATGGAAGCGTAGGATAGAAAACCAGGCCCGAAACCCTTAAGGACGACACTCTGCAGCCCTAAGCCCAACAAGCCCTCCACAACCCAAAGCTCCTAGGGTTTAGCGTTTAGGGTTCAACTCGAAGTCTTGAAGCTTTTTTGAAGCTTTTGGCGCTCCCAAGCCCTGATCCAATTATTCAAGTCTTTCTGCTTGCCTGCACAACCAGCCTCAGAAGTTTCAGGTTTAGGTCAGGGTCTGTGATTGAGTTTAGGATTTGGGGTTTAGGGTTTAGGGCTTGGAGCTTGAGGGTTAAGGCAACTGGGAAGATCATGCCTTGAATTATTGAACCTAATATAGGTAGTTCTCTAAATTAGTTTCCCTTTTCAGGTCCCCAATAAGTACGGCACCCTCATAAAAGGACTCCAAAAGGGACCCTAATTTAGGGAACTACCCATATAGGGGCCTTAATAACTGATCTGTCTGCATCTTCAGGCCCAGGGTGCCTCCCGGTAGCAAAGACGGCGACCAGCGCATTGCAGGACCCACAGCCTTGCCAGTCTTGTCAGTCATGATGACCCCAAACCCTAAACCCCAAGCCCTAAAGAGCCCTAAACCCTAAACCCTAAGCCCCAAAAGCACTAAACCCTGAATCCATGACACCTTCAAAAGCCCTCAACAGAATGAACCCCCACAACATGCAACATATGAGCAGTAAGGGCACTAGCCTAAACCCTAAACCCTAAACCCTAAACCCTAAACCCTAAACCCTAAACCCTAAACCCAAACCAGCTTTTTGGTTATTGTTCGGGCCCGGGCTGCTCCTCCCACATTCAAGAGAAGGGTAGTTCTCTACATGAGGATCCCTTCAAAAGGCCCTTAGACAGGGATCCTTTTTGAGGGATCGACAGGATTTAGGGTTTGGGGTTGAGGCTTTCAGGGGAGTTCTCTAAACTAGGGTTTTTGTGTAGGGCCCTTGTTCATGAGGGTCCGTGCTATTTTGGGGACACCAAACAGAGGACCTAATTTGGAGAACTACCCAAAACAGCTTTTCAGTGCCAGGAGACGTCTGCAGTGACGGACATAGCCGCCAGACCGAGGCCAGAAACGCTGCGTCGACGATTGCGTTCGACTGCCTTTTAGAGTTTAGGGTTTTGGGTTTAGTTTTTTTGGAAGTCCCCTCTTTTTCACAGCATGCCACAGAAAGGGTTTAGGGTTTAGGAACCATTCGAGGAGCTTCGAGTTCTCCACCAATGCCCTGAATCAGCTTTTCCGAAGGCACTTGGGTCTTGAAAAGACTGGGCACTCACTAAAACATCTGAACAACAACCGTAATGTTGGGATATCCCATGACTAGTCCGCCTGTTTAACAAAGCAACAAGGCCGGGATATCCCAGCCTAAAGTTGATGTGTGGGTGCTGCTTCGGTTCCTGATAGAAGACAAGCAGATGAGGCCAGTCTTGTTCCGTGCCCCCCCCCCCACACACACCCTCGAAACAAACGTCACAACGACATATTCTGAAGGCTGTGCCTGGCATAATAAATTGAATGAAGATGGCATGACACAACATGACACAAAAACAGTCGAATCGAACAAACAACCCTCCAACGCGAAGCACACACCGCCGGACCTCAGCATCTTGAAGCATCTGAGCTTCCGGAAGAGGCCCTCGCCCTGTCTCAGGTGCATGGATACCCGCCGCCAACAAGCTGAAGTATTGAACCGTCAAACCTTAGCCTCTAATGGGTCCCTAAACCCTGAATCCTAAACCCTTCGATCAAGACCCTGCTGAAGAGCGACGAGTCAGAAGGGGCTGGGTTTTTGGCAGAGCTTCTAGTGGCAGTTAGAGAGCTCCGATGAAGGGTGCAAGGCAAGTCGTTGTGGTTGAGGGCATACCTACTGTATTTCCCTCGTTGAAAGGTACCTTGGTTAGTCTGGGTACGGTATACCTCGCCATTACGCCTGAAGAGAAGCCGTACCTATGACGTCTATCGAAGGCATCATCACGCGACACGGCGAAAGTAGGCTTCATATATTGTCGAGGCTGAAAGGGTGCTCCTGCTTCATGCTATACCATAAACCCCGAACCTTAAATCCTACGAGTCTATACTTGCTTGGGTGGTCCTTTGAGGAAGCCCGTGGTTTTAGGCCTTTCAAGTCGCCAACATCTTTCTAAATGTCGCATCAGGGTGAAACCAGTATCACCCTGAGCCCTTAGTAGCCTCAGCAGTTTAATAAAGCGGCCTTCATAATTAGAATACGGTTTGGGCATATTTTATAATATAACTCTAAGAAGGAACCCCCCCGAAGTAGTATTGGTAATTACTCGGCCCCTATAGTAGTTTAGGTTTCGAGGGCTTAGGGTCTCGACTCGGGAGTGTCCTTGTCTACAAACCACTAAGCCCCAAACCCAAAACCCTAAACCCGAAGCCCAAAACCCTAAACCCTGAGCCCAAAAACCTCAACCCTAAACCTTGAGAGCTACTAAACACTCAATGGAGGGCTTGGCGCAAAGTTGCAGGCGTAAGCACCAAAGACTCAGGGCCCTGGTCGATTCCATAATGGTCGTTTGAGGGTTTAGGGTTTAGGGGTTTAGGGTCTGGGGTTTAGGAGAGGTCAGGGGTTTGGGGTTTAGGGTCTGGGGTTTAGGAGGGTTTGGGGGTTTGGGGTTTTGGGGTGGCCACCGTCTACAAACGGTGTGGCATCCGACACAGCGACTAAGCCGCCTGACCATGTGTCGACCGGACAATATGTCAGGGTGAAGTGGGCATCGTTCTTGAGCTCATATGCAAGTTGGGCCTCTTTGAGAAGGTACCTGCTGTAGGTACCCTAAACCCTAAACCCTAAACCGTAGGCGGCTGCTCCGACTGCAGTGTGCTAAGAGCAAAGCCGTGGTCGCACCCCAGCTATTTCAGCCACTGAAGGCTACCGACAACCCTTCCACACCCGTGTTTAGGGTTTGGGGTTTAGGGCTTTGGGTTTGGAGTTTAGGGCTTAAGGTTTTGGATAAAACTCGGCATGCAAAGCCGGACAAGCATCGCGCGAGGTATCCGGCTGGCGCTCTGCGGTATTGAACTTGCCTCTATAGAAATTGGGAGGGTGTGGCTGGATCGCTGTTCCAGTGGAAATAAACCCTATAAACCCTGAAAACCCTATAAACCCTAACCCCTAAACCCTAACCCTAAACCCTATAAACCCTATAAGCCCTAAACCCTATAAACCCTAAACCCCAAAGCCCTAAACCCTAAAGCCCTAAAAAGCCATGAGCTGAAACCTCTCAGTGCCTGGAGCAGTCCAGAGCCTGAGGGCATCTCGAGCGTGGGGAGGCTCAGCTCCTCATGTTCCGGCAGTGGGCGTGTAGCGTTCAGGGTTTAGGGCTTGAGGTTCAGGATTTAGGGTTTAGGGTTTGAGGTTCGGGATTCAGGGTTTAGGATATGAGGTTCAGGGTTTAGGGATTAGGATTTGAAGTTCAGGGTTTAGGGTTTGAGGTTCAGGATTAAGGGTTTGGGATATGAGGTTCAGGGTTTAGGGTTTAGGATTTGAAGTTCAGGGTTTATGGTCCTGCAGGGTTTGGGGTTAGGACTTGAGGTTCAGGGTTCAGAGGCTGGCATACGGGGTTTATGCGGATTTTATGGGGCTTCGCAAGGGTCATACAAGGGTTTCTTTTCGGATTCGTAAAGTTTTGCAGCGTTTCATCAAAGCTTCACAGTTCGCGGTATTGTAGGGTCTTATGAAGGGTTATAAGGACTTCAACGGTTTCAGGTTCATATGTGCAAAAATAGGCTTCATAACGAGGCTTAGCAGAGTCAGGTTAAAGGCTTTAGAGTATAAGGCCTGATTCTGGAAAATAAAGTTTTGGAGGTTTAGGTATGGGGTTCTAATTCTGGGATGTGGGGTCTGATCACAATCGGCATGTTCCAATGGGGCTGTAGCAATGGTTTCGCTCTAGGGCTCAAGGCTTATAAGGCATTGAGGTGCCAGGCTTGCGGTGTTGAGGCAGGGCCCGAGTGCAGGGCCCTAGTGTAGGAGCCTTTATAATCAGAACAGGGTTTTGGGGCCCATTATACTGTAGTGATAGTAAGGAACCCCCCCCAAAATAGCATTATAGTAATGATTTAGGCCACTACATTACCCCTGTAGAACCCTTAGAAGCCTTAGAGGACGCTTGTGGCAATCCCTGTAGAACCGTTCAAAAACGCTGAAAGTCAAACTCTTCGCCGGCCCAAGGAAGCCTGAGAACTGGAGAGGGAAAGGTAGCCATACTTTGGGTTTAGGGTTTAGGGGTTTAGGGTTTAGGGTTTAGGGTCTTGGGGTTTAGGGTTTAGGGGTTTAGGGTTTAGGGGTTAGGGGTTCAGGGTTTAGGGGTTTAGGTTAGGCCTGAGCGCCTTTAGATCTAACATATATTGTACTATTTTGATAGGCTTGTAGGTCGCAGGTAACTAAGATGAACAGCGCCTCGCAAGCGCTTATCCGATCGGTGGTGCCTCCAAGCATTGGCAGCCAGTGGCCAAGAGCAACAGATCGGAGTAGCTTACCTGAGGATTCGATTGGCAGCTCTTGCTGAATCTTGCGTCTAGAAAGAAAAGGGTGCCTTCTTCGATTTTACGCTGCCTTGTCGGCCCTTTTTTCAGAAATGGAAAAACCTGCCAAATCATATCCTAAACCCCGAACAACCCTCAAGCCTGAGAACTATGCCTCCACGACACCTTTTCATAACTATTCTCAAACGCATCAGGTTCCAATTCAGGGTTTCTTCCACTTGAGTGGTCAGGGGCCCCACTCCTTTGCGGAAAGCAAGATGCAGAACAAATAGAACAAAGTTTTGTGGTTGAAAAAACCATAATATAACTGTAGTGTAAAACAATGTAGCCAAAACCTAACCTTCATCGCTTCTGTGTTGCCTCGAACGTGCGATTCACGATCAACGATGGAAGAGACTGCAAATGCTGCCGCAAAGGCACCCTAAACTCTAAACCCAAACCCCAAAGGCCTACTCTCAGCCCTTCTGTCATTAGTGACATAATCAAACCCTTGATACATCTAACCATATATCTTTCCATCATCTATCTGTCTGTCTATCTATTCACCCATATCTATTCATGTCCTTATCTGTATATACATATATATATATATATATATAAGTTATTCTGATCTTTGTGCCGTAAACATACCGGGGCTCCATGTGCTGCAAGTGAAGCCGGAGCCGACGGAGAGTGCGCCTGGGCCGCGGCTGGAGAAGGGTTTGCAGGCCGGGGATATAGAGTTACGGGATTCCGAAGCGGTTTCATACGGATTTAATGCGGTGTGCAAAGAATTCCATACAGACTCGATGGGGTTTCAGAAGGGCTTCAAGGGGCGCTGCTGGCTTTTTATAGGGGTTTCGGGCGGTTAAACTTTCTCGTTCACTGTTGCATACTGTTTGGGAAACACAGCAATCTATCGCAACAGCAACGACAGGGTCAGCAACAGCACACTCATTTCGGTGCCATGCTTCATTATAGAAGTCACTGGCCGCAGCAGCTCGCACACGGCAACTCTCAGACGGACCCTTATGTTCCTAAAATCCTAAACCCAAACCCAAAAGCAATTAGAACCCGTGTAGCAGTTCTTAGAGCAACCCCTGCGGTAACTCTTATCGCATCCCTTGGAGTATCCCTCATAATACCCCCGATAGTATCCCGCGCAGTAGCGCTTCTAGTATCCCTTTATAGCGACCACCTATAGCATCCCTTATAGTATCCCTGACCCTGGGACTACTGTTACTGTACCAACTAAGCCCTAAACCCATAAACCCTAAAAGCCCCTAACCCCGAAAACCCCCAAACCCCTAGACCCCCCAGAACCCCTAAAACCCCCCAAAACTTCAGCACCCCTAAAGCCCCTAAAACCCCCCAAAACCTCAACACCCCTAAAGCCCCTAAACCACCCCAAAACCCTAAACCTCCCAAAACCCCCCAAAGCCCCTAAAAATGCCGAAACCCCCTAAACCCGAGCCCTGTTCCTGGTGTCTTGCAACCCGGTTGCAGCTTCGCGAGGCCGCTGAGCCGGAACTGGGATTGTGATCGCAAAGCCTTCTTTAAGGGCTCCTTGTTAGGGGTTTAGGGTTTCGGTGTTTAGGGGTTGGGGGTTGAGAGGTTTAGGGCTTAAGGGTTGAGGGGCTTTGGGTTGAGAGGTTGAGGGGTTTAGGGGTTTAGGGGTTTAGGGTTTAGGGCTTAGCGTATTTAGGGTTTAGGGGTCCGTTCCTTATGTCAGAGGTTTCCTTTGCGGACTCTATTAGGGGTCACCTTGAGGTCCTTACGTTAAGGGTTCCTTTAAGGGCTCTTTTAAGGGTTCCTTTCAGGGTTCCTTTAAGGGGTCCTTTCGGCGTTCCTTTAGAGGCCCCTTATAGGGTTCCGGCTCCTTTTTTCGGGCTCCTTCCAAGGTTCCGCTAAGGGCTCCAGTCCAGATAAGGGCTCTAGACGGGGTTACAAGCGGATTCTACAAGGGGTTATCGGGTTCCTTTTTTCGGGTACCTTACCTCCAGATTCGTTGATCTACCCTGCAACGCTTGTATGGTTACCTCAACAATCAAGAGACGCAGTAGGTGGGGGTCTTAAGGAATATGGGGGTCTTCAGAAATTGGCTTTTGAGGCTTGCCGAAAGGATCGGGGATCTTAGTAAGCAGAGCTATAATTGGTATACGGGGTAGCTACAGTCATAGTTCTTGAAGTCCTATATGCTCATGGCCCATACTATCTGATGATTGAAGTTGTGCCTTGGGGCCCAAATCGCCGAAATGACAAATCCAAAGTCCTGCACACCTACGCCTTTAGACTGTCGAACTGCCTTTTTGTTGGTTTTGGGATCTGGGGGTTTCTGTCCAATCTCAAGACCCCTGAACCCCCATGAGACCTGTAAAACCCTGCTTTATTACACCATACCCTTCATGGACCCTGGACGTCCTTAACCCCTCAAGCCCGATAAAATCCCTTTAGCCTCGTTGCCAAGACCTTGTGGGGGTTTAGGGTTTAGGGCCCCCAACCCTCGACGAACTCTCTGGGCCCTGACACAGGTCTGATTCACGGGTAGGTCTCGGGCTGAATATAGAGGCCTGAAGAATGAATACTAATGGTACCTGATAGTGCCTGTGTATGTATACCTCAAAAGGACTTGACACTCGAATACAGAGTGCCCTGAGGTATCTTATCGTAAAACTGCACAGGAACTATGAGCTGAGATAACTATTCATGATGAAGGCTCCTATATGCTGCTCGTAACCCTCAATCCCAAACTCTAAACCCTAAACTCTAATTTCTAGGGACCCTGAGCCTACCTGGACCCTAGAAAACCTACCTTCAAAGGACTCGTATGGGAAAATCAATCTAAGGAACCCCAAAGAAAGGTAGGCTATTTGGGGTTGAGGTAAACCCTCAAGGCCCCAGCCCTGGACAGGGTTTAGGGTTTAGGGTTTAGGGTTCAGGGTTTAGGGATTAGGGTTTAGGGTTTAGGGTTTAGGGTTTTGCTCCTGCCGAGTTGCTGGGTCTTCCAGCACCAGCTCCTGCAGGGCTTCACACCATGCTACACTCATGTAAGATAGGATATGGGTAGTTCTCTAAATTAGGGTCGCCTTTTTAGGTCCCCAATATAGTACGGTACCCTTATAAAAAAAAAGTACCCCAAAACGGACCTTAATTTTGAAAACTACCCATATGACCGATAGTACAGTCGTGAAGATTAAGCAACCCAAAACCCAAAGCCCCAAACCCGTAATGAACCGCATAACATTTCGTGTGACCCCCATGTACACAATCCTTCAGGAAATTCAATCGACGCCCTACCCTAAACCGTAAACCCTAAACCCTGTAAACCCTAAAACCCTATAAACCCTAAACCCTATAAACCCTATAAACCCTAAAACCCTAAAGCCCGAACCCTAAACCTCTAAAGCCCTGAACCCCGAACCCCAAAACCCCAAACCCCTGAAGCACAAAAGGCGCCTCGAGATTCCCCGCGACTTGGCCGAAGACTTCGCTGGAGTCCCAGAAGCTGCTCCTCAACTTCGGGGGTTTAGGGTTTAGGGTTTAGGGGGTTTAGGGGTTGAGGGTTCCTAAAAGAATACACAAAAAACAACCATACCAATTTTTAATCATAATACGAAGAGTAGTACTAATGGTAATTATGATGATGATTGTGACAATACTAATAATCTTATCAATACGTAAGGGTTTAGGGACTTGGGGTTTAGAGTTCTTTTGAACGGCATTCTAAGGGGCTCCTGGCAGGGTACAAGAGCTCGACAACTTTGGGTTTTAGGGGTTTAGGGCTTTAAGGGTTTAGGGTTTAGGGTTTAGGGCTTAGAGTTTAGGGCTTAGGGCTTAGGGTGTAGGGTTTAGGGTTTGAGGGTGTAGGGCTTAAGGTCTACAGCTTAGGGCTTAGGGCCTTAGGGTTTCAAGCTGAGGGCTTCCTGGCTCCTCAACAGGCATAGGAGCTCCAGGGCTCTGCAAGAGCCTAAAGCTTAGGGCTGACCTAGGCCCTGGGAAGCCTACGGTGTTAAGGACTGATGTAAGGAAATCAGAATAAGGAACCCTAAAACGGTAGGTTATTTGGGGTTAAGGTAGGGATGTTTTTTTTCGATTTTGTGTCGGGCCCTTCTCCATCCGCAGAGATCGACGATAAGTCATGGAAATTTCGTGGGGGCCAGTGTCCGGGCCTTACGTAGAGTTCAGAGCTTCCGAAAATTCTAGGAGTTCGGTGTCGTTTATCGTTGTCAGGTTCCCGAGAGAAAAGCCCGGCCCCCTTCCTTGCGGGATGTCCTTCAATTAACAACACGGAGCTAAATTATGAGCGGTAGGCACTAGAAATCAATACCGCGACGACTTGTATTGGGTCTGCGCTTAAGTGCGTCTGGGAGCAGGTCTGCCGTGATGCGAAGCTGGCGCAATCCCGGTAGGGCTGCAGGAAGTGCGCAGAGCGGCAAAGCGAAGGGATGCCTTCGGACGTCGGCACGTTACAATAAGGCTTAGGAAAGTTTACTTACTTTTCGGGTATCATGGGGAACTAAAGGTTAACCTTTGGGGTTATATAGGGGTTATATAGGGATTGTACTACCCCAAAAAGGTTAAAGGTTACCTACCCTACTACTAGGTTTAAGGTCAGGGATCTCAGGGTCTTAGAGATGACCTTTGCGACTTTACTACGTGGGATTCACAAAGGGCATCCGATCTTCACGGGCTAGTCTCGCTGCTCCATACGCACCTATGCCTGCAATCTGCTGAACATGGAAGAGATGGCGAATATCCTATCGAGCATTTCCATACTTCTGTAGCTTCTGAATACTTCAACGTCTCAACGTCCTCCAGCTTGTCTGACGGAACCTGCTAAGGGTCTTCTATAGTCCCCGGTTTTTTAGTATGCAGTGGACACGATACTCATCGACAACACCTCGATTGGCGGCTTGGGGAAGACCAAACCCATCCTCTCGGCAATCCTGGCGTTACTGTCCCCGAAATAAGAGCTTCGGGTTTTGGTTTTGGGTTAACAATTCAAGGTCTATAGGACTTAGTGTTGAAAGGTTTATAGGATTTAGGGCTTATGGGCTTGACAAAGTTGATGGTTTCCGGTTTGGAAGCTACCAATCCCGAAAGGCCATTAAATTAAAGACACCATGCCTCCAGATGCTTAACCGGAAATCACCCCGAAACGGATGCCCTAAGCCCGAAACCAGTTAGTCGCTAAATCCCATGATTAAACCTCTTCCCCTCCCCCCCCCCGCCTCCACCCAAAAAAAAACACAAACAAAAAGTGTACACCTAAACTCTAAACCCCAAACCCTGAAAGCCGCTACAAGGTTCAATCTCTCATCCTCTTGAGCTTCGACCTTCCCCCCCAAAAGCCTGCGCTGTCGGAGACAGAGGCCGCGGGCTTTTGGGCAGAGACCTCTGCGAGCCGACATCCGCCAAGCAGACAAAGACGAGTTTCTAGGGGCCTTCATAAGTAGAATAGGGCCTATAGGGTTTAGGGTACGTAATAATCAGAATAGGGTTTTGGGGTATATTAGTGCCTTTGTAACTTGAATAGGGTTTAGGGCTTAGGGTAGGGGCCTTAATAGTTGGAATCGGGTTTAGGGCTTAGGTTTAGGGCATACGAAGACTAGTTTCGGGCTTAGGGTAGGGGCCTTAATAATTAAACAGGGTTTTGGGTACTGTATATTTTAATTCCAGTAAGGAACCCCCCCGCAAAAAAACAAAAAAAAGTATAATTAGGTCATTGTTAAGGCCCCTATATTAGGTTGAGGACTGAGGGTTTAGGGCTTCAGCCAGTATAGGATTTTGGGTTTCCGGCTCAGGGTTTCTGGCAGTTGCCGGTGCAGGGTTCGGGGCTTCTGGTCTAGCGTGCAGTCGCGCTGTGTAGCTTGGGTATAGGTTTTAAGGTTTAGGGTTTAGGGTTGTATTCTGCAGGAAGACAGCAATTTCTTGCGCATACAGCCAGCACGAAGGATAAGAACTGTTGAAGGGGCAGCAATGACATGGGCTGAGAATGGATCAGGGACACGAGGTGCAGCATTCGGGGTGTTGGTATCTCGGCCTTATGGGCCTTCTGACAGTACAACCGCAAAAGCTTGGGACAAGGGGACCATCGAAAGCCTTACGTGGCTTTAGGGTTTAGGGTTTAGCGGTTTAGGGTTTAGGGGTTTGAGGTTTAGGGTTTAGACCCGCACCAACAAGCCAAAGTGGGAGGAAGGTTCAGTCGGCGCAGGTAGAGCGAACCAGCTGCTGACTCAAAGGATGCCAGTAAAGTATGCTCGTGCAGAGATGGGGGGCATGACAGAGAGGTCTAGCTACAGCTGGAATGCGTGGACCTATGGTTTCATGAAGCGGATGAAGCATTTCAACGACAGTGGTCAAGGAACCACCGTCATCTCCGGCCATTGTACCTCCATGAAGTTCCACTCCCTGTGCTTTGAGGCTTCTTGCAGAGGCGGCCAACCCAACCTGTTTCTGGAATCACCCTTATCAGGGGCATCGGGCTGTATGCCATAATCATTGATCATAGGATCCGCGCGTGTGTAGGATCGTTCGGGGCCTTCCTTCAGAGTATCCTTTTTGCATTGGAATAGACTGATTGTGAAGTGCCTTCAATGGAAAACCGTAGCCGCACTGAAACCCAAAACTAGAGGTAGTGAAACAAGCTGCCTTCAACGAAACCCCGATTTGAGGGAGCCTCCAAGTGCCCTTAATCCCAAACCTCGATGCCCATCAAGGCCCCTTGGGCCTTGCAAGAAGGCCATAAAGCCGGCAGCTGTGGACTCTTTGATGATAATGGGCTTCGTCATGTCCTGTCTCCCGAGATTCCTACCATGCCAGCTGCAGGTAAACAATATCCTCTACCTTCTAAGCGTCACAGCATTGCAAAGGGCTCTCCACATCCGCGCAACTGTTAAAACCTTCTCCGGTACGGTGAAACCGACACTCACGAGGTTACGAGGTTCAGTTCCCTCCCCAGTCAAGCCGAAAGAGCCCGAAACGCTGAGAAATGCTGAAGTCTCCGGGGTCCGTTGCGTCCCAGGCGTCTCCGGGACAGCCGCGTCGGCCGCAGCGGCAGCCTGCCAGCTCAGCGGGCGGCACGCCTGGCTCTTCTATATTGTTCTTCAGTTTCGAGGCACTGCATCCCTGTATTTGATCTGCTTTCAGCTTTCAGAGGAGAAAAAGAGAGAGAGAGAGAGAGAGAGTTAGAGATACATATATATATATATACTAGACA